GGAATGAGACACAAAACTCTGGGAAGCTCATTACCAGCAAGGTGCAGGCAAACGTGAGGGAGCTGAGGAGACTCCAGCAGTAATTGTGAAGGGCTGGAAGGTCTCCTCTTTGAGGATAGATCAAATGAGTTAAATGTGTAGGTCATCTAAGCAGCTGATAGAAGTAGACCTCCACAAGATGGGCAACTGAAAGACTAGGACTGTCCACATGACAAATTAGCACAAGTCCAGAGGAGGTGAATCTGGCTATTACTGTTCTGGCCTCAAAACGGTGGAACATGCAAAGGCAGCTTATTTAAAATGTGCGACACGTTACCTTTTCCGTGATTTGCCCGCTGAACTCATCGGTATAAAATTTATTCAAAGCCAGAAGATTCTCAGGACTGAAAACGGCTGAGATAGCTGTCTGGATGAAAAGGACAGACAGTAGTATCTTAGATGAGAAGAATTTCAGAGAAGGTAGGGATGAGGAAGTGCTAGGGAAGTTAATCATTTGTGTAGGTGTTTGCAGGCTTGAAGACTCTCCTGCGCATCAGTGCATAAGTTAATCCACCATGGTGGGGACTGAGCCAAGCTGCCTGCTCAGCTTGCTTTTTGGATATGCCTCACCTCACTACCCCCTTCCAGATCTGGACCGGGTCCACCCTTTTCTGTTTTGGCTTGGCCATTTTCCTCAATCAGATCTCAGCCTAAACATTTTTGGAAGCACAGCATCAGTGATGGTGCTGTCCCTGGGGAGATGGAGAATCCTTTCCACGCTTGATGGATGCCCCACCTGCCCTAATTCCACCACGTCAGAAACTAGAGGCCGCCTGTCTCTGCCCACCCTCCAGTCGATGTTGAAGAGATCTGTTTTATTCTAGTGCTTCTTCCTTTGCATGTTCCTGTGTGTGGGTCTGGCAGCAGTGTCTGTGCATGCTGCAACCCTTTGCACTGTGCCAGGTTTGGGAAGGGCAGCACAGGCTGTCTGTCACTTCAGTCTGTTTTCAGTCTGTCATCTAAGATGCGATACTCCAATCTGCAACTACACTAGCCTGTTGGCTTCTCCTTAGAACATGAAAATTATTATAGTTTTCCCTTTAGCTTTTAGTACCTTTTGAAAACCTGCAGTGGTCTTTTGGAAGACTTAAGTTATTTTAAAGGAAACCATCTAGGAGCGCTCAGGGCAGTTTGGCTGCTATCCCATCCCAAACAGCAGTCGGTGGCATGGTGAGGTGAAGAGCTAGAAGGAACCCAACAGGAGTACTTGCCTTGGTGTATGCTCGTGGCATCTGTCCATCTGCAGCCCTTGTAGGGCTGGTGAGGACATTTGCGTGCCATGGGAGGTTCCTGCTGGCTTATCATGGTCTTGGGAGTGTGAAACTTGGTAGGGTACCTTGACCTTGGAGCACACAGAGGGACAGCACACTTCCATGGACTCAGTTACAGTGTCTGTGAGTGGCTGCTCTGTTGTGCTGTTGTGAACAGCTCACCAGATCAGTACTCACTGCAGAGCTGGTATGTGTCAGCTTGAAGATGCTGATTCCTCATCAACTGATTCCCTCAACGTTTGGTGTGGCTTTTCTCAAAATGCACTGGGTCCCTTTGGGATGAGGCTGGTTCTGTAGAAGTGGAAATGATGATTATCATGTTGTTGTATTTATTCAGAGAGGATGTGCAGCAGTTGTCAGACAGCACTACGTACCTAACAGGGAATTCAACTTACAGCTGGTAGATTGAGACTGAAAGGCAGAGCTGTGGGATAGAGGCGGGCAGGCACAAAATGCTGAGGCTCCTAATCTTTTACAATATGTTTGTTTAATACAAAGTGGTTTGCTGAGATTGTTTTGCAGTGTAGAATAATCATTGTGTGCTGACTAATGGGAGACAGCAAGCTGTTAAAGAGCGTCAATTAACCATACATGAGGAGGTTATTGAGTATTTTCACTAGCATTCAAGATGTGAAGAGTAAAGAATGTTACCTGACGGTAGCCATCAGAGATTTTTTGCTATTGAGGTCTACAAACCGCAACAAGAGTATTTGTGGACATACGTAAGGTTGCAGAGCTTACTAGGAAGAATAGTGCAAGAAAACTCCGGCTAGCTTTCCAACTCCAGATTGTGCCGATACAAAATAAATAGTGCTTTGCTAAACTTGTTCTCTTGTTTCATATTCATTATTTTGAAAATTTCCCTTGTTAAATTTATCTAATGTTGTCCCAGGAAATATTGGCCCTCTTTACAGAAGGTAACATATGCAATGCCCTTCTGATACTCAGATGTCGGAATTTGTTATACTTCTGCTTCCTTGCCTAACTGTAAGGCTGTTGTCCTTGTCCTTACAGCTGCTCCTGCTTCAGTGTAGTAATTCCTGTTCCTGCTATCTCTATGAGTTAGAACTCTATGCACTTAGTGCTGAGAGAAGCGTGCTCTTCCATCATGTGCCTTGCACAATGGATAATAAAATTCTCCAATTTCAGCCAGTGGAGAGTATGAAAACCTATGTTTCATTAGAAATACTTTTTTACAACCCTACTAGTATTCTGCCTGAGTTTAATGTGAAAAATACTAACGTTTTGTGGGCTCTGCCGAGTTATTTTGTTCTTTGTAAGTAATGGGAAATTTTTCCCATCCTGGATTCCAGTGTCAAATTCATTTTGTGTAAACATCATTTTCCATTTATTAATCAGCAGTGGTGAGACCAGATAACATTGAATTTATTTTTTCAGTTTTGTTTCTTCTAAAGTGGTGTTAGAGAATTGGACCTCAGATAGTCTTTTAGCCAACAGCAAGAGATGTCCTGGGATTCCTTGGGGATTATGATAAAGAGGGACCCTTGGTTCTTGGACAAGGGCAAAGATAAGATTTCTCTCAGCTTCAACGCTCTATTCAAATGCCTTAATCAAGAGATGTCTCCTTTAACAGATAGTTCTGCATCAATAAAGCCTTTAATGTGTTAGGAAAAGTTCAGACACATTTACTCCTTTTCTGATTTGATTGATTTCTTTAATCTTTTTTTTTGGGGTGGGGGGGGAGGAGGGGGAGAATAACGCATCAGAAGACTATGGAGAGGATTAATTACTTGCCTGCAAAACTCATGAAGATATTGTGGTGAAAGATGTGGGATAAGTGAGTGAAGCCCTGGTGAAGTTGGTGTCAGTTGGGAAATGTAACTGTGACTGCAGCCCTTGTGCCTGCAGCGTTTTGCACTGTGAGAGAACCTAGTCTGATCCCCTGTATGTCATAAGCTTCTGAATTTGTTTCAGTAGTGGAACCCTCCCTAGTCATCTATGTAAAAAATCCTTTTTTCTCCAGATACAGCAGCCGTTTTGACCCTGAGCGGTTGTAGCTTGACAGTGGCAAAGGCAGTGGGGGGAATTTGCTTCCTTAGGACTCTTGTCCTTGCAGCTAGTGCTTCTTTGAGCTCTGACTGATCTCTGGTCCTTCAGAGAGATGCCAAAATATCCCTGACTTTACAGGGAACTTGTCAAAGCCCTAATGTGTGAGATACCAATATCTTAATGCAGATCTGCAGATTTAAAACCCCAGGGAGTTGTTCAGCTTCACCCGTGGCCAGGGAAGGGAGGGGTTGTGGGGAAGTTTCAAGGCTGGAAGGGGGTATCATTAGCACTGAGCTTGACCTGAGCTGAGCTTTGGCCAAAGGATTCATCCCTGGAGCTGCAGTGAAGCATTTCATGGTTCATTATCCTCACAGTAGGAAACAATGTCTTATTCTGAAGCTGAATATCTAACTCAAATTTTCATCCATTTGATCTTTGTATGGCTTTGTCAGCAAAGTCTGGTCTCTCACCACTTTCCTTTTCCACTTTCTTTCAGGATCTAAAACAAATGATATCTCTTTCTCCATGAATGGAATAGTTTGAGCTCTTGAAGTTTTGTACTATAAGGCTTGTTTTCTGGGCTGTGAGTCATTGGATGACCTGCCTTTGAATCCTCCTCTGTTTCCCTGTGGTTTTTTTGAAGCATGAACTCCAGAACTGCACACATGTTCCGGGAGAGCTCTGGGATTTGTGCAGGTTGCAGAGGCAGCATCGCTTTTCTGAAACTTTGCTGCTTTTTGGCAGCTTGTTGCCTTAGCGGAAACAGAAAATGCCATTGGACCAAGAACCGTTTCCTTGAAGGCCTTAGCAGGGTACCTCTTCTTAGGGATGCTTCCACACTGACAACTACATTTTGAGATGAGTCACTGAATTCACATTTAATCCACTAGTAAAATTGGCAAGGAAGTTACCATCTTGCAAATTCTTCAAATCAAATTGTTAGAGAACATTAAATCAAATGCTTTGGAGAAATCCCAGTAAATACAATGGCTTTTATCATCCAGACTGCAATTCTGTCACAAGAAAAGCTTTGGTTTATTGGGCCTATCTTCAGTGAAAGTGTGCTGCTGGTACTCGTTTTGGTCTTAGCCTCTAATTTTTTGTCTGTTCCGTTGTTTTCCTTTTCCTATTTGTTACCTCATGATGAGAATTGAGAATTACGGAATTTCTAGCTTACAGTTGTCATCCCTACTTTTTAGCGTTGCCAAGCACAGAAAGCCTTTGCAAACTGAATTAATACTGTTAGTCATGAGGCAATTAATGTGTTATGACAACGCAGTGGCTTAAAGCACAACGGTGATGAAGGTCACTCTGCTGGGTCTCCTTCTCTGCTCCGTGTGTTTTGCTCTGAAGTCAAACCACCCACTCCTTGGTGAGAGGGAAGCGTGCGGAGCCCTTGCGTGTTAGTCATCAGCGGAGGGGCTGGTAGACTGAATCTGCAAACAAATGGCTACAGGCAGCTTTCTGGTCACTGGGGCTGCTCCCTGGTACAAAGCACCTGTTAGCTTAATTCAGTTTTCACTGCCACACGCTTAGGTTTACACTCGCAGTTGACTCTCTTCTGTTTTGTACATCCTAGCCCAAACATGACATTTTGTGTTGTTTCCTGGCAGGAGGATTTTTTCACAGAAATCTACCATACTTACTCTTCCCCTTCTCTTTTTTTTTTTCTCTCTACAGATGAAAACAAGAGAGGATGAACTACAGAAGGAGGGGTTCTCTGCCACTGCTAGAAAGACACAGGAAAGTGTTGAACTAAAGCTGTTAGATCTTGCATACCTTTGTGCTCCAAAAAAAAATAAAATGCACGGTTCATGCAGACTGGTGTTCAGAAGAGAGCATCCTGCCAGCAAAACGGGCTTTGGTAGGTCTGTATCCAAGGAGCCTGTTCCAGCTGTCAGTGCTACAGAGGTGATCAGAGAACTGCGGGTGAGAGAGGCCAGCCTGGAGAGAGAGCTGAAGCAGCTGCAGGAAGAATGCAGGCAGAGGCTGGATGAAATTGCAGAAGGGTTGGATGGAGTGATTTGTATCTCCCCTTGAAGAGGTAAAGCTGGACTGAGAAGAGCAAAGGAATAGACTGACTTGATCAAAACGCATTGTGCAGCTTGGCATGGGGGAGTGTGAGGTGAGGAACCGAATGTAGTTTCTAATTTTTAAGCCTGAGAATCATCACTTGTTACTACTTTGTGACTTGCACTGTGGCTGTAACCTTGGTGGTTCTTTCTGCAGCTCCTTTGTTGCTAACCTTGCCAATTAAATTCTGCAGCGGGCCTTGGTGGGAGTGTGAGTAAATCTCCCTTTTATCTTTTGGATTTCTAGTTCTTCTGCCAAGCACTGGGCTCTTCTACAGTGCTCAGCTGCTAGGCACAGCACACACTGGGGCTACGCACTGAAGTACTAATTGCATTCGATATTTTCCAGCAAATGGAAGAGTTCATTAGTCAGAAAAATCCAGGTATTGGAGAACACGCACAGTGCCATGGCTTAGAGAGATTGGAAATGTTCGAGAAAGTGCGCTGTTCTAATTCAGTTGGTTTGCATGTTTGTGGCAGCTGTAATGCAGTCACCAGAAGGAAAAACAAAAGCCTAATAATAAATAAAGCGCCACACTGATTTCATTCACTGGCGTGATACACTTGAAGTAATTGGGTTCTCAAAGAGAACAAACTAGAAAGCCATTCCACTGAGTTATGAGTCACAATGAGATAACTTATGGATCTGCTATAGGAAGTTTCTGTAAAATAGAAATATGACCTTAACTTCCAAGCTTGAGGAGCCTCCAAGCTCCATCTCTGGAGGCTTCTTCCCCTGGATCGTGCAAACGCTTGTCACTTGGCATTCAGTTCCTACCCTTTTCTGTTTTGCTTTCACCAAGGAGTATTTTTATATTCTAGTTGTACACTTTCAGGAATAAATAAATAAAGAAATAAAACCAGTTTGCTTTTCATTTGTGAATTGCTATGAGCAATGGGCTTTCCTCCATCTGGATTTCTGTCTACTACCCCAGCTCAGTGGTGTCGCTGGCTACCAGCCGCTCTTGGCTCCCTCAGCAGCCAGACATGAGGAACCTTTAAGGACCTCTTTCCAGGCATCAGTACGATTGCTGCTCTGCAGGGAGACTGTGTGCAGGTGGGAGTGGGTGGACAAGGCTCAAGTCTGCTGGTTTCTGCTGCACCAAGTAAACTCCAGGTGCTTCCATACCCTGCTTATCTGCACCACCCGCGTTGGTTCTCATGCAGTTTTTGTAGAAGAGGGTGGCAACACAAACATCAGTGGAGATCTGTGCAGGGAGGACCAGTTTGCCCTGGTTTTACCCAGCTGCATGCAGCATTGCTGGTAGGCCAGGAGTGTACAAGCTGAGTTTAATATGGGGTAAGTTTCAGACAGCCTTTCCTCTGTGTGGCCCCAGTGGCTTCTCCAAGGACCAAGCTTGAGCAAGGCTGCTGGGAAGAGCCATTCTTAGCCAGAGACCTCAACTCCAGTCAACCCTACACAGATGGGACAGCCCCCATTTTGTGTGTTGACCGAGGCTGTCAGTCACAACCAGCGTGCCTGCTGTCAGATGGCACTGGGGTGACAAACAATCCTGGAGCAGAAAACCCCAGTGGGCTAATGAGATCCATCTCTGGGGCAGGTGACCCCAGGCTGTTGCTCCTGGAAGAACAGCCCTGGCCTTAAAAAGCCAATCCATGTCGCTATGCTTTTCAGACCGTCTCCGTAGGTGCAGGGTACTAAGCACTGAACTGTTTCGAGCTGGTACAACTTTGGGAGGATGTTGGCTCCAGGGCTGCTGAAATTCAATGCACAAGAGGGCTCGGGTTTCACAGAAAATTATTCATGAATGGGAAAGAAACAGTATATCCTAGAACTAACAAGAGTGGCAGTACCAGTCTCTCTCTCTCTGAGCATTTTTTATCCTCCTTTAGCTTTTATACAAGGGAATTTTCATACTGCATCACATTTAAGTTTAAAACATTGCCCTCAAAAGATCCTTTGTTCTCTTGGGCTTTTCAGCAGAGAAGAGTGGGCAAATATTCTTGAGCCTAGCGAGAGCACTCAGGTTCAAGTGCAGGTCTAGCTCATGCCTTGTTGTGGTTTATCAGGGTTGGCTTAATGCTGAGTGCCACCATCTATTATGCTGCTGTCCACTTAAACTGACAGTAGTCACTCATGGGATGACTTATTTCCTCGTATCAAATATCTGTCACCGTGCAGCACTTAGCGCAGTGTGCTTCAGTCTTCATCCAAGGATCCCGTTTCAGTGGAGAACACAACTGGCAGTGCCTTTCCCCTGCTTGACTCTGAAGAATTATTTTTCTCTCTGGTGGAACGTAGAAATGATGGCTCTCGGTGTGTCCGTATGTGCGCGCGTGTGCCTTTTGTGTTGTACAGAAGTGCCTGCAGTGAATTGCAGACAGCTGTGTTTACCGCACGGCACAAATCGCGGTACCGAGGTGGCCGTCTGGGAAGCTGTCCGGAGAGCCGGCAGCTTGGAGCTGGAGCTGCTTCTCCTGGCTTGTACGTCGAGAGGGCCTACAGCTGAATGCAGCTTAAAAGAGGATCGCCTTTCCACGATGCCGGCATCGCACCCTTCAGGCACGTCGTGCGAAGAGCATAGGCAAGTATAGTTTTTATTTTCTGGCACCGATTTCCCACTGCCTTTTGTTTCAGGTACCAGTTAGCAGTTGAAACCAGAGCAGATAGCCTGCGGTCCCCGTTGAAGGTTCAGCGGGGCATTTTGAGCTGGCAGTGGTTTTAAAACCATGACCTGCGTCCTCCTCTTTGCTTTGCCCCTCTTCTCAGCACCAGCATGGAGAGCACAAAGCAGGAGGTACTTTAAGGGCTTGTCGTTTTCACGCACCGAATTTTGGAGGGTGGTTTTCCTGCGAAGGCTGCCTTTTAAAAACCGCAGCATCTCCGCGGGAGTTGGACGCAAAGGGGCTGAGCTGTGGTCATGCCTCAGTGACTGGTCACAACTTTTGATTGCTTTCGAGGCATACTGATGCGTCTGAAATACAGATGCTTTCTGGTCCTTGTGAGCTTGGCGAGGCATCAGCTGTCTCTCCAGTACTGCTGGGAGATGCTGTATGATAAACACCACTTAAAAGCTTAAGAAGATCATCCCTGGATTAACACCAGCTGCAATAAGGGCAGGAAAGTGAGCTGGGTGACCGCAGTCATGCTTAGTGGGATATAACTGAGGAACAAATAGATGTTTGTCACCTCATACCATTGCCATGGTATTTGAAGCATTTTCCTTTCCTTGCTCAGGCTGACTTTCACCCACCATCATAACCCGCTGGTTTTAAAGGCTGCAATGACCTTCTTGGTCACCGGGGCTTGGCCCTGTGTCAGCAGTTGAAGATGCTGTAGAAGGGAGAATGGCTGCCCTGGGAGACGTGTGGCAACCAGCAACCAAATGACTGGCTGGTCTCTGGCAGATGCTGTGAAGATGACTCAAGTGGTACGTTTCATCCATGGGTTCAGGCGTGCTCGGTAAATGTTAAGTATTACTTCACAGAAATTGGAGAGTGTTGTAAACAACCCACTACACTCGGAAAAGCAAAGATACAAGCTGTGAACGGTTTGTCCTTTGCTGTATCACCACGCTGGTTGTACATTTCCTTGTGAAAGCAGGAATCTGCCCTAAATTGTGGATGGGGTTGAACAGAGAAGGGTGGGTATCGGCAGGAGAAGCTGGTAGAGAGTGAGTCGCACATTGTGTGTGACTGGTTGCTAAACTCAAGTGGTGAGGGAAGGCTGGTGGTGATGCTGCCCTAATATCTGGAATAGGCAGCAGGGTTTGTTCTGTTTTGTTGGGTTTTCTGAAGAGGCTACAGCAGAAGTTCTCCCTGTTGGTGTATTGTAAAGGGAGTTAGATTAGTTTGGGTTTGGATCTAGGGTTTCTAAGTGATCTCGGGAAGAGAGAAGCATACTGTGTTGAGATCAGGGGCTCCCAATGTAAGAAGGACATGGACCTGTTGGAGTGAGTCCAGAGGAGGGCCACAAAGATGATCCGAGGGCTGGAGTGCCTCTCCTCTGAAGACAGGCTGAGAGAGTTGGGGCTGTTCAGCCTGGAGAAGAGAAGGCGCCGGGGAGACCATCTAGCAGCCTTCCAGTACCTAAAGGGGGCCTATAAGAAAGCTGGAGAGGGACTTTTTACAAGGGCATGTAGTGATAGCACAAGGGGCAATGGATTTAAACTAAGAGAAGGTAGACTTAGATTAGATCTAAGGAAGAAATTCTTCACTCTGAGGGTGGTAAAACTCTTGAATAGGTTGCCCAGAGAAGCTGTGGATGCCCCATCCCTGGGAGTGTTCAAGGCCAGGTTGGATGAGGCTTTGAGCAACCTGGTCTAGTGGCAGATGTCCCTGCCCATGGCAGGGGGGATGGAACTAGATGATCTTTAAGGTCCCTTCCAACCTAAAGCGTTCTATGATTCTATGATATTAGAGGTGGTGGCCCGTGCTGGAAAAGCAGGAAACCAGGGATAAATCAGCACCTGCCAGAGATGCTACACATGGTTATGGGTTACAACTGACAAGAGTCAGGCAGTGAAGAGCTGTCCTAGATGTTCACCTGATGATAGCTCACAGCAAAGCCTGTCTGTAGGAAGCCCCCATAGCAGCTAACCCTTCTTGCAGGGCTGGGAGAGCATGGCCTTTTGCGTCATGCTCTGGTAATGCTTCACTGAAGACAGGCCGAGTTACTGCTGCAGTGTTTAAACCACACTCTCCCTGGTGATGGATTGCTTCCAAGCGTAGCCTTAAGAGAAGAAGCTTTTATAGGACTTCTGCGTATGTCGTTTCTGGTAGGCCAGCATGGAGGTGTTTATAGAAGAGCACAATTTAACCCGTTTCTCTGATGTAACCAGCGCTTGGTTTCCAAACATCTTGCTATGAAAATGAGATTGGCCATAAATACTTAATTGGCTGATAACTCTGGCTTGCGCTGTGTTGCTAGAAATATTCCTCCCCAAATAACTGAGCATCAATCAGCTTGCAGTCAAAACAGGAGGTTCACTTTGCAAAAGGCCAGCG